TCTTTTTTTGTCTTTCTTTCCCCTATGTACTTGGCACAGTGCCTGGCACATACCACACTTAAGGAAACCTTGTTGAATTGAATTGAACTGAAATAGCATGGTCAGGTTTTGAACTCTAATCTTCAGTCTCCAAAGCCAGTACTCTTCCTATTCCACTTAAAATAAGTATCAGCTGTGTCAATAAACTGTACATCTCTGACCTCAAAAGTCATTTTATAAGACATAACCCTTGAGGAAGTAATATTTTATTTTTTTAAGTCTGTGATACATTTTAATGCTTTCCTTTATGGATAATAATAATGATGATAATAAATCATATTTACATGTGGCACTTGCCTCAAAACAATGCAGATAGTTACTGCAAATGTTGTTATCCTTATTTTTACAGATGGGGATACTGAGGCTCAAATAGCTTTTAAACTTACCAAAAGATGACTTGAGATAAGAGGGTCAAATTTTAAACTTAGAAGATTAATGATGAAGAAAGAATTCTCCTTTTATATAACATGTTCCAAATAAATTCAACTTAGCCAGGTGTTGAGGCTTTGGGTTGACTCCAAGTTTCCTTTGGGTTCATAAAGGGCTTGCTGATCCATGGTGAGGTTCAAGGTCACTGCCAAATCTAAAGTCATATAGATTCCCAGCTACATTATAACAATTCTTCTGGAGGTAATTCCAGTGGAGATTAACATTTCAAAAGATCATAGCATTTAGATCTGGAAGGAGCCTTAGAGATCATCTTGTTCAATCTCTTCATTGTGAAGATGAGAAAACTGAGGCACAGAAGTGATTTGCCCAAAGTCACATAAGTAGCAAGTGGGAAAGCCAGAAATCAAACCTCAGGCCTTTGACACCAAATTCTCTTTGAACTGTACAGAGTTGTCTCCTTAAGTTTACTCTCTTGTCTAGGTTTAGAAGAGATTCAAATGCTTTGCTTTGGGCACTTTAATTTTATGTCTACTTTGTATTTTTTCCCATTGGGAGGGAAAATCCCACACACATACCCTTGTAATGCTTATCATTGCAAGAGTGAGAGTTTAAATAGTTTTCTACACCAGCCATTTATTGTCTTGTACCTTTGTTCAGTTGCCAGTCAGTGAATTAAATTAATCATATAATTCCATGGCTGAGCACATTTATTATTACTGTGTTGTCCATCACAGCTGCTGTCTCCTCTCCTGCATTGTTTCTTCTTAAACACACGCGCACACACACGCGCGCACACACACACACACACACACACACACACACACACACACTCTTTCCTCCTCTAGCTCATTTTCAAAAAAAGTGAAAACCACTTGAAACTTTCCTAAACCAACAAAACAAAACAAGCTTCTCTTTTTTCCTTTTCTTCATCTGGTCAAAGTGATGAAAATCCTTCTTCAGTTTCTTCTCACTCTGTCTTGAGAGGGAATTAGTGTGACTCGTTGGCATGGATTCCAGACCTGGAGTACGTCACTCCTTAACAAATCAAACCAGTTCTCCAGGGCAGTCCCCCTGCTGAATCTGTTTGTTTTGTGGCTCCAACATTAGCAGAATAAGTTAGAAAATGAATACCCAGCACACCAGAAACATCAGTATGAAAATAGCCAGCCTCACAGACTGAGTTGAAAAAGGTAATAATCAGAGGGACTGAAAGGATCCTTTGATGAGAATTCAATGAAAGGACTGAAGTCAGCTCCCTAAAGATTTTCAGTTCGTTTCAACTTCGCTCCTAATGAAACAAAGTTTATCTTGTCAAACCTTGGTCACAGTTGGACATAACAGGCAATCTTTGTTTGCAAGGCTTCTACTGATGGTGGAAGCTAAATGAATCCCAACATTTTGTCCTTCCAGACTAGAACTGAAACATACTTTGTGATAAGAATAACAAAAGTATGTTCTTCATCCATATTATCCAGGCTGCATCACAAAACTGTGATATGCTTTGGTACAAAATTACTTTTGTCTGCCTGGGAAAAGGCTAGTAGCAGAATGGAGAGGCATTCCACAGAAGAAATTAGAGTAGCAGGCTCAGTACAGCAGCAAAGCCCATATGGCTCTCTGCTTTATAGATTATATATTTGTTATATAGATATACATTTACTTTATCAATCCTTTACTTTCCTAGGAGCTAAAAGAAATTAATAATAATTTTAAGATAAATACTTTTATTATCTAGTAAATAATTTTAATATGTAATAAATAATTTTAAGAAAATACATCACTAAGAAAATACATTATTAAGAAAATAAATTATTTTAAGAAAATAATATACAATAAATAATTTTAAGAAAAAAATACTGTATACATTAGTTAGCTAGATGGTGTGCTGAGTAGGTAATTGGATTCAGAGTCAAGGAGACCTAGGTTCAAATCTAGCCTCAGACACTTGCTAGACCCCACCTTTGGGGGGGGTCACTTAAACTCTGCCTCAGTTTTCTCATCTGTAAAATGGAGATAATAAACTGGGAATGGTAGAACACACCTATAATCCCAGCTACTAGAAAGGGTAAGGCTGTTAGATCTCTTAAACTCTGAGCTACAGTAGGCTGTCAATAGAGTATCTATACTAACTTCAGCATTAAAATTGTGAGAGGGGTGGGGGATAGTAGATTGCTTAAGGAAAGGCAAAATGACCTAGATCAGAAATGGTTGAAGCTCCTGTGCCAACCAATAGTAGGACTGGTAACCTTTTCCAGCCCGGGTGAGATGAGATTGAGTCTTTAAAAAGAAAAATGAGGGAGAGACACAGAGAGAGGAAAAGAGAGAGGCAGAAACAGAGAGAGAGAGACAGAGATAGAGACAGAAAGAGAGAGATTATAATAGCATCTACCTCACAGAGTAGTTGTGAGGCTCAAATGAAATAATATATGGAAAATGCTTTTTAAACCTCAAAGTGTTACATGTGGTTATTATTATTGTTAAGAATTTACTCTTGATTACTTGATGACCTGATTACTACTATTTCTGTAATATATAAAAGTGTTGAGAATTTTTAACAAAATATTATCTAAACAAAGCCAAAGTAACTAAGATTAGAAGGAAGGTAGAAAATTGGGAAAGAATTTTTACAACCAGCGTCTCTGATAAGGGCCTCATTTCTAAAATATATAGAGAATTAAGTCAAATTTATAAGAATACAAGCCATTTCCCAATTGATAAGTGGTCAAAGGATATGAACAGGCAGTTCTCAGATGAAGAAATTAAAGCCATCTATAGTCATATGAAAAAATGCTCTAAATCACAATTGATTAGAGAAATGCAAATCAAAACAACTCTGAGGTACCATATCACACCTATCAGATTGGCCAAGATGACAAAACAAGAAAATGAAAAATATTGGAGAAGATGTGGGAAAATTGGAACACTAATGCATTGTTGGTGGAGTTGTGAACTAATCCAACCATTCTGGAGGTCAATTTGGAACTATGCCCAAAGGGCTATAAAGATGTGCATACCCTTTGACCCAGCAATAGCACTTCTAGCGCTGTATCCCAAAGAGATCATACAAATGGGAAAAGGACCCACATGTACAAAAATATTTATAGCAGCTCTTTCTGTGGTGGCAAAGAATTGGAAATTGAGGGGATGTCCATCAATTGGGGAATGGTTGAACAAGTTGTGACATAGGAGTGGAATGGAATGCTAGTGTGCTATAAGAAATGATGAGCAGGCAGACTTCAGAAAAACCTGGAAAGACTTGTATGGACTGATGCTGAGTGAGGTGAGCAGAACCAAGAGAACATTATGCACAATAACAGCCACATTGTGTGATGACTAATATTGATAAACTAGACATCTCCAAAGGCCTCAAAATGGAAAATGCTATCCACATCCAAAGAAACAACTATGGAATTTGAATGCAGATGGAAGCATACTATTTGCTATTATTTTTTTTTTCTTCTGTTGAGTTTTCTTTCCTCTTTCTGGTGGTTCCTCCTATTGGTTCTAATTCCTACTTACAACATCACTAATGTGAAAATTTTTTAAAAAATTATCTAAGAGGGAGGGTGACTTTGTACAGTCTATCACATAACTGGAACGTGCCCATGCTCACCTCTGCCTCTCACAATGTTTAGGTTTCTTCAAGGCACATATGCCATTTTCTACAGTATGCAAAACATTTCTTATTCCCTTTAATTGCTAATATTTGTTCCCACTTCCTCAAATTATCATGTATATTATTTATATACTTGTCTGTTTACATGTCTTATTCCCTACCCTCAAGGAGAAAGGAAGCTCCCTGAGGTCAGAAACAGTTTCTCATTTAACCTCTGTATCCCCAGCCTTGGTATGTTTTAGGCACTTGGTAAATGCTGCCTAGATTAGATTAGGTTGGGTTAGATTGGAAGGCAGTTTTGATTCCTCAGGCCCATTAGTAATCTACTTCTTTCACTGCTATCAATGATTAATCCACAAGATATATCACAAACAGTATCTCTGTCTCCCCTTCTTAATCCATCCCTACCTACTAAATACACTGCCAAGTTATGTGATTGCCTTCTCATTTGCCTCCAGGAATAAAATACCTACATGAAGGAAGAAACATTTTTATAAGTATATCTTTATTATTAATTGAATTTCTAATGAGGTAGAATCATCACGTTAAAGGTACATGTAGTAGAAATCTCTATGTGTGTGTAAATAATGGTAATTAGCATATGAAAAAGAACTCCTTGACATGATTTTTTTCGGCTTTAACTGCAGTGTTAGAAGGCTGGAAGTCTGAAAGGAAACAAAGCATTTCTCTTTTAACACCATGTGGAATTCTAGAGGGGAATGAATGAAAGCCCCAGAAGGATTCATAAACCAGGAAATTGATGCAAACTGAAAAACTATTTCCCTGCAAAGGAAATTTTTTTTCATTTTTTATTGTGAATAGAGGACATTGGTAAATAGACCACTATGCTCCACCAAGGGATTTTCTTTGCCTATGAACTAACTCTTTACCTACCTTCTTGTTTCCTTTTCTTTTGCAGGCCCCTGACCAAGGTGTAGACCATAGAGGTGGAGTCATGCTTCACACGGCCATATCATGTTGGCAGCCATTCCTAGGTTTGGCTGTTGTATTAATCTTCATGGGCTCTACGATAGGCTGCCCAGCCCGCTGTGACTGTTTACCTCACAACAAGTCAGTCTCTTGTCACCGAAAGAGGTTGATTGCAATCCCAGAGGGCATTCCCATTGAGACCAAAATACTAGACCTCAGCAAAAACCGGTTAAAAAGTGTCAACCCTGAGGAATTTATGTCTTATCCTCTGTTAGAGGAAATAGACCTGAGCGACAATATCATCGCCAATGTAGAGCCAGGAGCATTTAACAATCTTTTCAATCTGCGATCCCTTCGCTTGAAAGGAAATCGCCTGAAACTGGTTCCCCTTGGGGTATTTACAGGACTGTCCAACCTCACCAAACTTGACATTAGTGAAAATAAAATTGTCATTTTGCTGGACTATATGTTCCAGGACTTGCATAACCTGAAATCCCTCGAAGTAGGGGACAATGATTTGGTTTATATATCACACAGAGCCTTCAGTGGGCTGCTTAGCCTGGAACAACTCACACTGGAGAAATGCAACTTAACAGCGGTACCAACAGAAGCCCTCTCCCACCTTCGCAACCTCATTAGCCTGCATCTAAGATATCTCAACATCAATGTTATGCCTGTTTATGCCTTTAAAAGACTGTTTCACCTGAAGCATCTAGAGATCGACTATTGGCCTCTATTGGACATGATGCCTGCCAATAGCCTATATGGTCTTAACCTCACGTCCCTCTCCATCACCAACACCAATCTATCTACTATACCCTACCCTGCCTTTAAACACTTGGTTTACCTGACTCACCTCAACCTTTCTTACAATCCCATCAGCACCATTGAAGCTGGAATGTTTGCTGATTTAATCCGGCTTCAGGAGCTGCATATAGTGGGGGCTCAGCTCCGCACCATTGAACCACATGCTTTCCAAGGGCTCCGCTTCCTTCGTGTGCTTAATGTTTCCCAGAACCTGTTGGAAACACTGGAAGAAAATGTGTTCTACTCACCCAAAGCCCTAGATGTACTGAGCATTAGCAACAATCCCCTGGCTTGTGACTGCCGCCTCCTTTGGATTCTGCAAAGGCAGCCCCTCTTGCAGTTTGGGGGCCAGCAGCCTATGTGTGCTGGCCCCGACAGCATCCGGGAGAGACCATTCAAGGATTTCCACAGTACTGCTCTTTCTTTTTACTTTACCTGCAAAAAGCCCAAGATCCGTGACAAAAAAATGCAATACCTGCTCGTGGATGAAGGGCAGACGGTCCAGCTGGTCTGCAATGCCGATGGTGATCCACAGCCAGTAATTTCCTGGGCAACCCCACGAAGGCGTCTGATAACCACTAAATCCAATGGAAGAGTTACAGTGCTAGGGGATGGCACCCTAGAAATACGTTTTGCCCAGGACCAAGACACAGGAATCTATGTTTGCATTGCTAGCAATGCTGCAGGGAATGACACTTTCACAGCCTCCCTTACAGTGAAAGGATTTGCTTCAGATCGTTTCCTTTATGCTAACAGGACCCCTATGTATATGACAGACTCTAATGACACTAGTTCTAATGGCACCAATGCAAACACTTTCTCTCTGGACCTTAAGACGATACTGGTGTCCACAGCCATGGGCTGTTTCACATTCCTTGGAGTGGTTTTATTTTGCTTCCTCCTCCTCTTTGTATGGAGTCGAGGAAAAGGCAAGCACAAAAACAGCATCGACCTTGAGTACATCCCCCGAAAAAACAATGGTGCTGTGGTGGAAGGGGAGGTGGCCGGACCTAGGAGGTTCAACATGAAAATGATCTGAGGTTCTACCACTAGCAGTGCTTTTTTTTTCTTTTCTGTGGCATTGTTTGTATCCAATAAACCAGCCTGGCAAATCAAATTGCTGGGTACAAGGGCAGCTTGATGTAGCTGCCCTTTTGTTCAAATGGGGTATATAGGAAACTGGAAGACTTGTTTGTGGTTATGCGACAGGGCCTCTCCACCAAGAGGCAGGTGTGTGTGTTAGGGCCTTTCACAGAGTTGGTTTTACTAATTGTTTGCATTGCAAATATTGGCATTCTGGGGATCTCAGTAATGAACCTGTTGGCTCATGTTCATGGACAATTGTTCAACATTTTCTACCACTACAAAAAAAAAATAGAAAAAAAAAATAAAGAGCAACCTACAGTGTAGGATTTACATATTAAAGACACATTTGTCTAAAACATACTCTACAGTTAAAAAAAAAAAAGAGAATTTGTATCTATGATTACCATTTGTTAAAGCCTTGCACCATAACCAATTGCTGGTTCAGCACCACAAAGAAATTGATATATTCTTTTCTTTTCCTTTTCTTTTCATGATTAAAGCAACATATAAACTGTGTACATTTTAAAGCAATACGAATAAGAGGTTGTGCTTTTAGTTACTTACCACTACTGACCCAAGTGTGATGTCACCATCTTTTAACTGCAAATAGCAAACATCGCATAGTAGATCCCTGTAGTTACCTGAGGAAAGATACATGAAGGGAGAGATGAATTTGTCTGATTGTAGGAATCCAGGTTACACTACCCAAGGCAAAATTGTTTTAACTCTGTTATCTTCTGTTAATATAAATAAAGGCATGTGCCTAGTTTTGATACAGAATGGAATATTTTTTATACTTGTGATATCACACTGGACCAGTTTACTGTAACAAGCTCTTGGATTCACCCGAAAGAGGGTAAGCCACAAGTTGTGGTTAAAACTATGAAAAAAAGAAGCAAGGTAGGTGTTAACCATGAAAATGAACCATTTTATCATAGCTTGGTTTAAATTTCACAAACCACTGTTAATGTGTTAATAGACAAGAGAAAAGGAAAGAAAAGGAGGTAATAATTTTTGTGTATTCATAAGAAAACTGTCACCTGCTAGTCAAGATTGAGAAGTCAGGCTACAAAAGCTCATTGAATAGGAGCTCTTCTCAGATGCCAATAAACCAGGTTCAACCATGCATAACAGGAGGATTATGCAACTAAGGACATGCTTAGAATGTGATGGTCTCCTTAAGGTCCAACTGCTGCTAATTAAAAGGACTTGCTCTCCACTGTCACTATTTAATATTGCATCTTCCAGGAAATACTCATAGATTTCAAAGTTAATTTCCATGAGTGGATAACTTCAGCTTTTCTCCTTTCTACTTTACAAATTACATAATGCTTGTTTCTCTGCCATAATAATCAATGGTAGACAAGGAAAATCTTATTGTGATTTTTAAAGGGGTAAGCAAGGTTGTATTGAATATTATTCAGTTACTTTTTGATTTGTTGGCTGATCAACAAAAAAAAGGCTTAATCCTGCAAGTGTGGAAAGCTGTACTGATCCCCTTCTCCTTTTGCCAATTATAGCTAATACTTAATGTTCCAAGATGTTGGCATCATCAAATGTTGCCTAAAGATTTTAAATTATCAATATTTTCCATTTTGAAAAAGAATTGACCTCATCACAAATGATTTAGTTCAGATGAGGCTTAAATTTTTCCCTAAATGTTTAGTTAATGACTCTTCAAACAGACTGAATGTTACTAGTAATCAATTAATAGAAATATGAATGATTATCTATTTCACTAGAATGGAAGAGGCATGAAAATGTTACATAATTCACATTTTGAGATGGAGTCAAAATGGTGTCTCATAATATGATAAATTATAAAAGAATTGAGTTCTGTGTTGTGAAATGCTAGAATGAGAATCTTCCTTTCAAGGGACTTCCCTTTTTTGGTCTTTGAATTTCATGAAACTTAAATAAAATGGCCCCTAACAAAAAAATTTTTTAAATGACAAATGGAGATTATTCCTGCCAGTTGAACTGCAACCCAGTTGAAAATCCTGCTCTACCTTCAATAAGGAGAGTAAAATAAAGAAATGAGATGGAAAGATTATTGAACTGTCAGTTGGATTCATTTTCACTTGTTCCTGATAATGGTTATAGATCTCATAAACAATCCATTTTTTGAAGGGGTAAGGGAGGGGGGCAGGAAAAAGATGACTTTATTTATACCAAAACAATCTCTCTCTCTCTCTCTCTCTCTCTCTCTCTCTCAGTTCTGGTATAAATTCAGGGACATCCCAGTGTAATCCAGTGGAATATTTTCTTTTAAATTTCCAAAGTGATCTTTTAAAAGTTAATCCAAAATGAAGTACAGAGTAAGTTAACTTTCAACATTGCAAATAATCAAGGAGAAAACTAATTGCTAAAGAAAAAAATGGAAATGCAACTAACTGAGACTGGATTGTAATCAAAATATCCTTGAATGATATATAAGGATGCTTAGGCATCATCCGGTCTGGATTTTGAAAGACATTAAAAGCCTGATGAGTCTGTAAAAAACATATTTACCATCTGATCTTACAGACAAGTCAGCTAACCTCTAAAGGAGGCACCATAGTACAAGCCCAAATGCAGTTAACTGCAATATGGTATAACTGAAGGTACATTCAGGTGGAAGTCAAGAGGTCTAGACTCTAGATTCTGCTCCTGGTCCGGGCTCTACCTGTGTAACACTTACCTGTGTAACCTTATGTAGATTATTTCACCAGACCTAAAATTCTATTTTAGGGCATCTCTATAAAGCCTCATAAGGCACACAAATCAACTGGCATCTGTGTGACTATTAGATACTAAGGCAGTAATGATCAACAATTTTTCAATTGAAAAGCTCTTTACCTTGTTGCTTTCCTATGGCTGAATCAATTGCCATCAAACTTCCTGAGCTTTAAGGCTGAATTCAACACATCCCTGGGAGAAGGGGGAGGGATTTGAGGAAGCAAGAGGGGGACATAACCCATGTTTATCTCAAATATAAAGGATCTTGATCATACTAAGTAGGTATGAATTTATTCCACAGGATTTCAGGTTGCTATAAGGATTGAAATATAATCCTAGAATAGTCTAGAGAGCAATCTAAATAAATAATAACACTAGGAATAAGTCCTATGTTCAAATCCAGGCTCTCTGCTACTTACTACCTGTGTGGCCTTGGCCAGTCATTTAATTACTCTTAGCTCTCTGTGATTTGAGAGGATGTTCTCTAAAGGCTCTTCTGATTTTAAATCCTCTTTTCTTCTGAGAACTCATCTATTTCCTGGGGGGGGGGGGAAGGGAGAGGTGTCTTCTGGGTAAATTGGGATGATACAAACCTTCAGAGGGTTTTGTTTTGTTTTGTTTTGTTTTGTTTGCTTGTGGATTGGTCAGCTTTCTTAATATATTTGAAGGAAAAGTATCTCCTTCAAGTGGCACTCCCAGAATCAGTGCCCCAGTATCCTGAAAAGAGTAGGCCCCTGCTCTAGGGTCTGCAAAATAAATATCTGCAATGGATTCAGTGCCTCATCCATAAAATTTGGGCCATTACATGCCAAGTAAGAAACATGCTGTTTTTCTAAGCTCTTGTTTTACCCATTTTTCATACTAAGAGGGCTATATCACTTCAGAACTCCCTGTTATCTAACTTTTTGAAAATCTAAACCAATAATTGCCTAAAGTTGTACCTCTAATTCACTAACAGAGTTTTCTAGAATTCTGGTTTTGCAGAAATTTCACCAACATGTTCAGGTCCATCAAAAGTTGTGAGTCCAGGTAAATTTGCTACTTCAGTGTTCTGCTGACAACTTCACAAGGTGCTCTACATTGCTTATGGCAACATTCTGGAGATTTTTACAATAAATGTTCCCTTTTTCTTCAATTTACAACTAAGTCCCAAAGTTTACAATTATCCAGTTTGTATGTGTTTTTAAAGGAATTACTTAAATTCCTCCAAAATAAAGCCCTGACTTTTTTCGCTTACCATTAAATGAATAGAAATAAAATGTGTATTTTACCCTTCAACAACATTGAAATTTAGTTGTGATCCTTGGCCAGTAAAAGGAGACTTTCCCTCCTAGAAATTAATTTACCACTGCTAGAACTCTATCTTCTTCCATGTCAAGGAGGAGTGTGTATGTGTGTGTGTGTGTGTGTGTGTTTTAAACATTAGAGTACTGAGCTCAAAAGCACCCAGATCATGTTTCTGATTTTTCAGACAAGAAAAAACAACAACAAAAAGTGTCATTTTCTGCTTTTGAAGGCTGCAGTCTGAGATGAGCAAAGAATGTCAAGGATAAAAAAGAAATGAAAGCCACTTGGATCCATTTCCGTCCTTCAAAACAGCCTCTTTGCTCCAACTACTATTACAATAATCAAAACTAGAAAAAGAAAGTCTGGATTACACAGGTGATGTTTGTGGTTTGGCTTATCCCCCAGCTGTAGCCAGTAATCATTATGCCTTTCTTTGACTTCCAAAGATAGCATTTTAGTTGCTTTCCCTTATTTCACTGTCAACTTTGTATATAATTTACATGAACTAATCCAAGTGGAAACAATAGCAAGAAAATTAAAAGATAGTAGCATAGAACCAAATTCTACCATGTTCCTTAGCTCTTAAGACAACTAAAAGAAGGAATTTTACTTTTCAACTGCTGAGTAGCATACTTTGGATATAGAAGAGTTGTTGGTTGTCCTTCATTCTTGAAGAGGATCACGATGTCAGGAAGGTGATGCCATGACTTGCAAATGAATTGGATTTAAGTGAGAGGGCTATGCAAAGTCACCAGCCTCACTTTCTCCTCCAAAGCTGTTTGGGTCCAGTGGCAAGATATAGATCAGGACAACTGGACATGGCCCCCATACGGAATAGATGACATTTCTAAATGACCATCCTGGTACAGTAAGTAGCACCTAATGGGAATCTACCATTCTGAATTGACAGCTGGAAGTTTCTGACTTTGCAAAAAACATAATCCTATG